ACTAGGCACCTTGGGACCTCACACAGTTCTTCCAGTTGCCATCAGCTGCACCAGCATATTTTCCTGAATTTTATCAACAGTCTGAAATCTTTTCCCTTTCAAAGGTGATTTTAGTTTTGGGAAAAGCCAGAGGTTACAGGGCACCAAATCTGGGCTGTAAGAAGGCTGAGTTACCTGGGTGATTTGATGTTTTGCAAAAAAACTCTGCGCAAGACGTGATGCATAAGTGGGCATGTTGTCATGATGAAGCCGTCAATCACCAGTTGCCCATAGCTGTGTCCTTCTGAATCATCCAAATAGTTTCCATGGAGGAATGTTCAAGCTTGATGCAAAATTTGATGCAGATTTGTTGCTCTATTTGCTCAGTCATTTTGAATGTGATGGCCACACAGTACATGTGCTCACTCAGTGGCATTTACCTGCCCCACTGACTAGTACAGTGAAGTCATCACTGTTCACACATGTGCATTTCACTCTCCTTGGCTGCCAGGTCATATCGATTTCCAGAAAATCACTGCTGATATACTAACAATGGCTGGACTTTTTCCAGCCATTGTTAATGTAATTTATGTTATATTTATCACATTTATATTATATTAATCATATTAATCATATTAATCATATTAATTATATTATATTATATTATATTATATTATATTATATTATATTATATTAATAACACATAAAATACAAATGTCAGAGAAGCTCTGAAATCACTCTCTGCTATCACTGTAAATACACTCAGTAAATTAGTATCTGATCTATAATTTAAAAAATAAGTCATTCCAAATATGAAATTTTTGTAGTATTAGACAGTGCTTCCTGTATATAGTATATTAAAAAATAAATCAGTTATACACCTTATGCCCATTAGGAGTGATTACTACCAAAAGAAACAGAAAAGAAGCGTTGGTGAGAGCGTGGTAAACTGGGGCCCACACGCACTGTTGGTGGGAATGTAAAGTGGTGCAGCCACTACAGAAAACACCATGGCTGTTGTTCAAAAAATTGAAAATAGAACTACTGTATGATATAGCAATTACATTTCTTGGTACATATGCAAAAGAATTCAAAGCAGACTCTCAAAGAAATATTTGTGTGCTCATGTTTATAACAGCGTTTTTCACAATAGCCAAAAGGTACAAGTAAACGAGGTGTCTATCGATGGATGAATGAATAAAAGAAACGTGATACACACACATTCATACACACTTATTCAGCCTTTAAAAAGAAAGGAAATTATTATTCATGCTGCAACATGGATGAAACTTGAGGACATCATGCTAAGTGAAATGAACCGGTACTGGAGGACAAATACTGTATGGTTGCACTTACATGAGGTCCCTAGAGGAGTTAAATTCACAGAGATGGACAGCGGAGTGGTGGGTGCGGGGGCTGGGGGGCAGGCTGAGGGGTTGCTGTTTAATGAGTACAGAGTTTCAATGATGCAAGGTGAAAACAGTGCTGCTGAGCTGTGCACTCAAAAATGGTTAAGATGGTAAATTTTATGTTCTATATATTTGATCACAATTTTTAAGTAAACCAATGTAAAATCTTAAATATACCAAGAGCAACTTTGTACAGGAAGATGGAATCTATTACTATAAGATACTTTGTATTTAGTATGTTTTAAAATTTTGATTCTCATATTATGAGATGAGCCATACAGATATGATCTCTATTTTTAAAATGAAAGGCACCCAGGATCGGAAAGCTGAGAAGAGATTCCAGGACTCCTGGCCCAAGGGCTGGGTGTCACTCCCTTCCAACTTCTCCCTGGCCACGCTTTGCTCCTAGTGGCTGGATTTTGAGGAGGGTGTGTGTGTGATTTCAGTTATCCACATTAATATTGTGCTTGGATTTTTTGAATTGATAAACATCTCAGATAGGTTGATGTGGTAGGGATGTTTGCCAAGCTGGTGACAATTTAATGATAGTGTTGCCAACCCGTGTCTTCGATGATCACGCACGTTTATCAGACAGTGCAGTCATCTCCACCAGACCAGTCGCACGCCCCGGAAGCGGAGCTCCAGGAGCAGGCTAGCACTCTGACAGGCACAACAGGTCACTGCTACCAAATCAGCAGCGCCGTGCTTTAAAAACCGACGACCCTGCTTCCCGTCATTATGTTTCATGAGTGCTTCAGGTTTGTCTTCGTACCCACGTCTTAAATGGTCTTAAATGGTAAATGGATTATTTCTGTTGACCCCTAAGTAAAAGTCTGGGTGGTTTTATAGGGACATTAATAGAAAACGGGTAGAATTGATGTTATATGCACACAAAATGCATATACTCTTTCCCTTTTCCATCTAATTATGTTGAAAAAAAATGACCAGCTAGGAAGATGGGAGTGGGAGGGAAAAAATACTATCTACTTATCACATGAATTAAGGTGAGTTTTTAATGTTCCCTTTATGCTGTTTGATCGGGCCATCAAAGTGGACAAACAGTTCCCAAAAGCCGTCTCCTCCCTGTGTCGTGTTTTAAAAGGGGAACTCAGAATTCATAAAAGGAGAAATTCCTCTCTACTTGCCCAGCAGTACCCTCTTCTTCCCCTCCTCAGACAGGACAGCCTTAGGGGGCCTGCGGGGTCTTCCTGAGGCTGGACCTGCTTGCTCTTACCATCTGGCAAAGCCGTTCCTGTACTGAGCCTGGATGAAATCAGACCCAGCCGGAGAATGGAGGATGCCACAGCTGCGATGGGAGGAGGCACCAGGGGGGACAGGAGCGTTTGTTTACTGAGAAGGGAAGGGGGAGAGCTGGCTGGGTGTGAGGAACTGTGTTTCTCTGGCAACTGAGAACCGTCCTGTTAGAGGTGGCTGCTGGCTTTCAAAACAAAAAGAAGCTTGTAACTGTAAAAGGCTACCAATGGATTTCTTGCTCCCCTACCCATTTAGAGGCGAAACCTATCTATGAGGCTTTATTAAGTGCAAATAAGTCCCTGGGCTGCATCGGAGAAACAGCAGCTGCTGAAGATGTGGTCATTTGCATATAAATGACATGATTTCAGCTCAGAAAAGAATATTGAAAAATATACATGTCGACAATGGAATCCTGATAGGTTCACACATATTAAGGTCAGATAGTGTAATTTTTAAGGCTGCTGCATGCTGATGACTGCATCATATCACACATACAATGCTATTTCGGTTATACGAGTTTTATCTTCTATGAAATGGAGAATTTTTATTGTAAATTAATTAAACTTTCCCCCCTAAACATGAGAACATTTAGGTCAATAAGCTAAATGCTCTACAAATGCATCAGCTCGACAACAGCCAAAGTTACCAACTGCAAACTTGGTTGACAAAGAGGGGTGTGTCCCCAGGGCCTCCTGGGGACAAAACTGTGGCACTTTCTCAATTTCAATCTGCCCCCTGCAGGGTCAGCCTTTTCTTAAATGGCCAAAGAAAGCCCCACTTTCCATGGTCTAAGAAGTTTTCTAACAGCCTGGCTAAAAGATTAGGAAGGCAATTACTGTAGCCCAGAAATTCCCACAGATTTGCCAAGCCCCCCCACCTTACCCTGTGGCTTGTAGCACAGCTGGCCCTGGGAGGCTCCACCCTGCCTCCTGACAAGTGTCCCCTCCCTGTCTGGAGCAAGGAGATGGGTTCTTCTGAAATCTGCCCCACATCTCGGCCCTGCATCCGTCGGGGTATTCCTGGCTCCTTCCCCCAAACAGAGCTTGTTTAGAAGCTCTTGTCATATCTGGCTGCGGGAAGGCCACAGAAACAGTAGCACCTGCCATCACCCCGCCAACCGGTCTGACTCAGCTCCCTTGGGGAGATTCCTGTAAGTGATGGCTTCGGAGTTTCTTGTACAAAAGTACTACCTTGTGTTCTGTTAAGTAACAGACTCTATTCATATCAATTCAGCATCGGATCACTGAATTATTTAAGGAACTCAGGTAACTAATTCTCAACATATTTTTAAACCCTACATACTAACACTTTCTGGATGAATAGTCTTTGGTACACACACACTTTTTAAAAAAGATCATTAGAGAGGATTAATAAATAATTAAATAGCTAGCAGCGGAGAAGAAAAATTGAGAAATTCACCATAAATACACGCGTTTTACAGAGAATTTTAGAGCCTTTAGTGAACATATAGAATTTTAAAATCTCAATGTCAATTTGCTGATGTATTCAATATATTATGGAGACATATGATACTTTAGGTTTAGCAAAGATTTTAAAACTATAAATTCTAAAAAGCTTAATCTGCCTTGGTTGGTGTGGCTCAGTGGATTGAGGGCTGGCCTGCAAACCAAAGGGTCGCCTGTTTGATTCCCAGTCAGGGCACATGCCTGGGCTGCGAGCCAGGTCCCAGTAGAAGGCATGTAAGGAGAAACCACACATTGATGTTTCTCTCCCTCTTTCTCCTTCCCATCCCCTATCTCTAAAAATAAATAAAGAAAACCCTTTAAAATTTTATTAAAAGTTTAATCCTGGTAATTGATCAAACTATGTACATAGAAGATAATTATATTATCCAAAGTTTGGAATCCCAGGATTAGAGAAGGATGATTAAACTACCCAGGGGAGAACCCAGTTATTGTGAGGCCTGAAGCTTATACAATTTGGAGGCCTCTCTTTAAGAAAAAGAATGATATAAAATTGGGTACAGAGTGAGTATTTATTTAGATTGAAAGGGAAAATCACAGCAAATTATAAATTTTTTTGACTGTCATATATTTTTAAAGACTTTTAGAGATGGGGAAAGAGAAAGAGAGGGAGAGAAACGTCCAGGCCCGAGAGATCCAACATTGATTGGTCGCTCACACGCAGCCGGGAGACTGGGCCCGCAACCCTGCCTGTGCCCTGACTGGGCATTGAATTGGCAGCCTCCTGGTTCGCAGGCTAGCACTCAGTCCACTGAGCCACACCAACCAGGGCTAAAATTAGACAATCTTAAGGGAGAAAAGGCCTGTGCCTAAAGCCAGGTTCTGAATGTTTTAAAAACTCTAGGGACACCACCAGCCGAAACTGCTGTTCTACAGATGTTTCCTGCATGGTTTGTCTCAGTCATCATCCCAAAGACTCTGAGAAGCTGTAGAATATGCAGGTGCAGACTCCAGGCCTGGCTTTCTCTCCAACACTGTGGAAAGGACACATCACAGGGCAGAGCCCTGTGCTCCCCTACGGCTCCTGGACAGAGCCAGGGGAGAGTGACCTCCCAGGGTATCCACATTGGTTAAATTATAATTTTTAAAAAATCACAAGCGATTACAAGCCTCACAAAAGCCACCCACGTAACACGCTTTGTTTGATGAACTGGCTACACACCTCTGTAACACCTTCTACAACTGACCATCTCTCAGTCTGTTCTCTAACGGGGTTGACAAAAATTTGGTTTTTATTAATGATGGTTTCAAGAAACGTATTTTATCTCCACAACTGCTATTGGTTAGACCGTGTAAAGTTCCAGGACAGTTGTCAAATTGGGGGAAACCTTCATTTCTTTTATGCGTGGGCTGTACCATTCCAGGGGGTTTTAAGTTTTCTGTGGAGTGACCGAGCCCACACACCCCACGTCTTCCTAGTGCCAGGGCCACAGGGCAGGTCGGCTCTGTGGCAGCGTGCTCATGAGCACCGTGCTTTTGGGTCCTTGGAAGTGGGGCTTATGGAAGCTTTCCCTGTATCAGGATGGCTAACAGTATCCGTGCTGTATACAGAACTGACTGCAAAACATTTAATTAATGTATTCCCAGCTCGATTTTGACATGGATGGAAGGGAAAAGTGTCTTCTTGGAATGAGCCCCCCCCGCCCCGGAACGATTTCTGGCCCTCTCTGCATTTGGACAGGCTGCCGGTTCTTACACAAATTGTCGTTGCTGAGTCCCCAGGCCCAGTGTCTGTGATGAGGGCAGGGGGGTTGTGAAAGCAGCTGGTGGCAGTTGAACAGTTTCCCTTGGGCAGCAGAAGCCCCTTCAAGTTTGGGTTGGGGGAGATGCTCTCTATCCACAGTTCAGTTCAGCCAAAGTAGGATTAAAGCCAGAAGATGCTACAAGAAATTGAAAAATAAGAGCCCCAAGTGGATGCCAGTCTCTCTGGGGTGTGATTCACTGAACACAACCAATTCTCCAGTGGATCAATGGCCAGCAGCTTCTGGAGGAGCTTTGCTAAAAGCAGCCCATCCCAGAGCTGCCAGAGATGAAATGGACACTCTGTTCTGTCCTAGAAAGAAGATGAAGCGGGTAGTTTAGATTGCCGAAAACAATTTGAGATAAGCTTGTAGTTCCATAGAAATTAATCCGTTCCTCCAGATAGCACGTAAGCCTGTTGGAAAGCTTCTTCAATTCAAGCAGTTAATAATATATCAAGTCTTGTAGCTTAAGGGATACAATTTTCAAAATTATTGTGCTGAGGGAATCATAAATTCCACCAAGAGGAAGGTTGTAGTTCAGATATTTTATTTTCGATTTCCATCTAGGGTGCATTATGACACTCCACATGAAAGTCAAATCGTCCATGTAAAATGGTTTCCAGGTGATAAGTTTACCCCAAGGGGTACAGTAAAGTAATACATTCAGAGTTATATCTGACTTTCACAATCTATAAAGACTAGTTATCAATTTTTTGAAAGATTTGATAAGCAGGAACAAAAAAATAGCTTATGGATGCTGACATTTGTCTCATTAATGGGAGCAGCATAAGAAGTACAAGCTCCTCCTGGATTTGGCTGTAAATACGCCGCTGACATACATTTTGGAAGGTTGCTGTTTTGTGCCGGTGGGAACGTGTTTGTCTAACCTTGTACTGACTGTTACCGACGTAAGGAAGCCGGGAGATTGCTGTCAGCCACATTCAGCTTTTTAAAACAGGGACGCCCGCACGGCCAATATCTGTCAGATTCCAGGCCGCTGCATATGAAAAATTATGTTCCATCAACACTGCCTGGCCTAGTGGAAGTTTTATTAGGAAATAATTCTCCTGTTGTGTTTGGGGAAGGGAAGAAAAAAGTCCCACTTCACCCAATAGGATTCAAAGGAATAATTAATGTTTCTTCCAGCCTCAGAATAGGAATGACATTGACTTCTCTGGTGTTTCATGTGGAATTCCACAACCCCACCTTGCAAGGGCAAAACTAATAAGCATGTTAGGAAAGGCAGGGGGCTCAAGTACTAATTAACCACCAGTTCGAGTGTGGCCTATCATCGCATCATTCTGTGTATTGATGCATTATTTTCCTAAGTTATTGCCTTGTTACCAGGGGAAGGGAATTAGATTCTTTTTTATTCAGGATGATAAGATTGGTGAGTTTGCTGAAGACACTTATTAAAACAATAAGAGTAATAACAAAGTGGGTACATTGGCTTTGCTTCGGTTAAATTTTCTAGTTGCAAGTGGATTCCTGGGAGGGTGCTGACTGCCCGCCTCACCATTTGAGTGCACGAGGCGAAATGCAAGGAGCGGCCACTCTATTCGTCTGTGCGGAGTTTACCACTAAACCAAAACACTCACCGTGCACTCTGTGGAGCGTGCCCACATCTCTTCCCCGCTCCTCCCTCCCCCACCCCACATGTTATTGCTTCTCTCTCTCTCCTAAGCTTCAAGGACCCTTCTTTTGTCTTTGTATCCTGTTTCCTGAACCCATGTCTTCTGCAGCTCACTTCTTCTACCTCTGTGACTTTATAAATAAACTTTCTCCTGTGGTTTGAGTCTTGGCTCTAATTATTTCTTAGCCAGGACTCAAGTATCAAGGTTGCTGAACCAAGGTCCTGTCTGACCCCACTGCCCTAACACTTGGTGCCATTCTCGCCATCAACAGTTCGACTGCCTGGGGGCCTTCCTTACTCACTGTGGGTCTGCTCCTGGCTACTGGAGGGCTAACCTGGCCAGCGGCTCGCCCTGGAACATGTGAACAGACCATTGCTGTGTCTCATAATTAAAGCAGTACCATCCAGCACCCTCTGTGCATTTTTTGTTCATCTAGCTATATAAATAAACTTGTTTATTTCTTATTATTTGGAAATGACTGAGCCAATTTCACCCGATTTGGAGGCCTGACGTTGCATGTTAACTTCTTCCGATGGTAACTTCAGGAAGACCTGGGGGCCCTCAGATGGGTGGTTCTCAGACTTGAGAGGGCATCAGCGTCACCTGAAGGGCTTGTAAAAGCACAGGTTCCCGAGCCCCACTCCCAGCGTTTCTGCTGGAGGAGACAATTTCCATGTCAGACGAGTTCCCAGGTGAAGTTGGTGCTGATGCTGATGTTGCCGGTCTGAGGAACCACACTCTGAGAACCACTGCCTCGGGTGATCCAAAGCAGGATGGCTGTTGTGAATTTGCAGGCAGCCAGTGGCACACATGTGCTGCTCTGTGGGCTAATGAGCTACCTGAGGCAGGCTGGGAGGCCAACTAGTTGCACTCAGCTGAAGCCTGCCGTTAGGAGCAAGTGATTATGTGCAACTCGATGCCTGAAAAGAATCTCACCAAGGTGAGATGTAAGGCATATTTTTTGTAGGCTTAATGCCTTCTCACACATTGCCTAGTAAATGCAAATAGCTGGAGCACCCCGGCACCATCAGTGCCTGCCCTTGTTTCCGGCTAAATCACAGTGGCTGATTAATTCAGGGTTTGAGTGGTGCTTGTGGTCTGAATTATTAGCTCCAAGGTAAAGTGAGACTCATCTACATTGTTCTTTAAAAAAAAAGACTTTGTTTATTTATTTTTAGAGAGAGGGGTAGGGAGGGAGAAAGAGAGGGAAGGAAATATTAATGTGTAGTTTCCTTTCACAAATCCCCCACTGGGAACCTGGCCCACAACCCAGGTATGTGTCCTGACTGGGAATTGAACCGGTGACCCTTTTGGTTCACAGGCCGGCACTCAGTTCACTGAGCCACACCAGCCAGGGCTCGTTTACATTGTTCCTAATTTCCCACAACATACTTAGGTTGGGAAGAAAGCAGTTTTGTAACTATTTGCAAGCCAGAAATTATGTTCATAAAACATTTAACTGAAATAATTCCAAGCCATGTCTCTAAAATCTAAATCACACGTAGTTAATTAAAATGGAAACCAGCTTTCTGAGACCTGGGCTCAAGGCCCTGGCACTGCAGGTGCAGGTGGTCCAGGGAACTCGCTCACAGGCCCAGAGACGTGAGCTATCGCTGGGGGCCAGGCTTGTCCTGCCCACGTCTGTGTGCCACCTGAAGAGAAATGTGGGGTAGTGAGGGCCCAGGGGGCCCGGGGGGCCAAAGGACAATTTTCAAATCGATTGTTTGATGTGTTGTTTTGTTGTATAACTGCTAAATGTAGGAGGAGCCCGCTGCACGCACTGTTCTGTGTTACTGGGATTCATGAGGGTCGTGGTCCCCACAGATGAGAGAATAGAGCAGCCCAGTGGGTTCTGCCGCATCTAATGGGCGTGGCTGGCCTGGGGAGGTAGCAAGTGGCAGCAAGAGAGCATAGCGCCCCCGCCCCGGGATTTCCTGAGATCCTGTGGGGAGGTCACTAGACTTCCCACAAGAACATTTGGCCCACAAGACTTGCCATGCTTTCATTTAAATAGTAAAGGAAAAGGTGACCTAGCAAGGGGACACCTACTGACAGACTTTGAGGTAATCTGAGGTTATGGAAATCAACAAGCTGGCTTGGTTTTGCCTCAGCCCTTTCTCAGGTCTTGCCAATGGTCTGGCAGAGGTAACGCCTGCTTAAGTGTGGTTGGTACGGTAATAACATAGGTGTAATAATTTATAGTTTTAATTTGCACATTTCACCTAAAATGTCATAGGGTGTGCTTGAGTGTGATGTTGTTGTTACAGAATTACATGCTTATGATTTTGTAATCATGAAGGGGCATTAGAAGGGTCTAGTCAAGGAACACGTATAGAGGACCCATGGACGTGGGCAACAGGGTGGGGACAGACAGTGGGGGTGGGGGTGGGGGCAGGGGAGAGCAAGAGGGGAAAAATTGGGACAACCGTAACTGAATAGTAATAAAATAAAATAAGGGGGGGCGTACTTGTGCGTGTATGTCCGAGGGGCTGCAGGGTGCCTGGCTGTGTTCCAGATGCTGAGCATGTCGTGATGACGACAAGGCGGGCCCTGTTCTCAAGGAGCTCGTTTTCCTCCCACGTCTCCTCGTCCTCCAAAGCCCAGTTCCGTCCCACCTGCATTCCAATCCCACCTCCATCCTTTGTTCTCTCACCACTGATCCACTCCCAAGGCTTGCACTACTCACCCATTTAT